CCTAAAGGCGTGTGGGAGAGCTGCATTTGGTGCTTGGTAGATGAGCAACGTGAGAATTTGGACCTCGGCTTGAAACTCGATAAGCCCTACGACGCCTTCACACCAAAGTAGCTTCTGTGGCTGCAAGGAAGATCACTATTTGCTTATACAGGCATACCGCTTCATGTCCCCATCTACTCGCCCAATACCCGTCCATCTCCGTCTGCCCAGTTCCCATTACGTCCCAGAACGCCGTCGTAACTATGACAGATGCGATGCCACTCCCCGAGGACCCGTATCTAGGGTATCATTTGATCCAAAGGGGATATAGATTGGAAATAGCAAGACTCTAGAAGAGACAAAACGTAAAATCGTACATGTTGGGAGCTTTGATTAGCCGAAGATCCGGAGAAAGCCCCATAGCCCGGCTCCGCAAAGCACGGGGATGGTGAGATTGTCGTCCCAGCCAAAAACATCGATCGCTTCACTGGCACTGGCGATGATGCCAGACGCCAGAGACATGGCGCCCAACGCCCAGTATCCGGTAAGGGATGCTTGCTTCACGGAGAGAGCAAAAGTTTCCCGCGCCTGGGGAGGGAGCGTCAGGGCGCCTTGGAATGCAAAAGCGTATTCGCCGTGATTGTACTCTGAGTAGAGAGGACCTAGCCAGCCCCACCATACGGCTGCTGTGATAACACCCGTCACGCACGCCGCGATGGAACCCGCAAGACTCTTGCCTTTCCTGACTCTGGGCGTGAGGTGGCCCCAGAGCCTGCCGAAAGTCGAAGCAGCAGTATCGCACCAACTTAGTAGTAAGATGCTCATGACTGCTATGTCTTTCGGGCAAAAGCGCATGACTATCCATGCGCCCAGAAGGTAGGAGATGACGCCGTTGTACCCATCTACTTCTGACTCGCGCATGAAGGCACCGAGGCAGCGGATGTAGAAGCGGTTGACTTGCCAGTAGCGGTGTCGGATGACGTCGGCGAGCGCGATGGGTATCAGCATGGTGAGGAGGACATTGTGTATTTGTGACGTTTGCGTGCCGGTGCAGTAGAGGAAGATGGTCAGGAAGCCGATAGAGACATGGAGGATCTTGCGCGGAATCTCATGTCGGTGAATCTATCGACGTCAGTGATGAGCTTGCGAAATCACCATGTGTGTACTCACGAATGACCGCCATTTCTGGTGAATAGGGATCAAGCCTAGAGGACTAGGACTCCTGCTCATCTCCCTCCAGTAGTTCTTGTTTGCTTGCGCGGGTGACAGGTGGCCGTTTGAAGTGTTGCCAGGCAGCGCGAGGTCCTTCTTCATGCCTCCGTTCATCTGCCTACGACTTGTCAGGCCGCTCATCCTCCGCCGTCCCACGCCTCCATCCAGGATAGGACTCCGACTTCTAGCGTTCCGGCTCCTTGCTCGAGCCCTGCTGTCGGGGTCTGATCCTGAGTCCTCATCGATAGGCGGGGGTGACGTAACCCGTTGTTTGCGCGTCGAAGAGCGCGTCACAGGGCCGAAATAGCCATCTTTCGTACTGCCCGCCTCCGATGGCGTTGGTGACGGCGAGATCACACGCGGCGTGTTGGGGATCTGGTATTGGCGTGAAGACTCCATGGCTACGCGCCAGCAGGTAGGAAAGTAAGGGAAAGTAGGAGCCCGGATGACGCCGGAGAGAGTAGAGTGGGCCCTGGCACAGAGTAGGGCGATGTTTACCAGCAGGGACTGGCGATCCGAGGGTTGAGAATAAAGGTAATGAGGCTGGGTTGGCGCGTCACAGCTAACATGTGGGAGGGCGGCACTTAGGGTGGCCTCGACATTGATGTCAGCATCAGGCGTGATCAGAGGCTCATGGCCCGCGGATTCGTCCGGGCAGCGCGCATCGTTTAGGGAGGCAGAAGATGCCACAGTGCGTGCAGGCGACAGCAGCGGTCGTCTTATTTGTTATAGGCGGGTGAACAGGGAATGGGTCGGAGCGTGACGGCTGTAATCTTGCTGCATGAGCCTGGGAAATTTGGTCTCAGGGCTACGCATGTATGATCCGGTCTCGCGAATGCGCCTATGATCAGCGTGGCGGCGGATCAGTCTTGGCGATGCGATCAGGTTCGAGAAAGGAGACACGGTGGCAGTGTGTCATTGCAGGCTCGCGAACTGGATGCATCATGTTTTGAGTAATCAAGCTTTTGTCAGATGCGCTCGAAGCAGTGACAGTTCCACATGTGACGACCCCGCGTGCTCTCGAGTGTACCTGCCTGTGAACGACAGCCCTAGAGTGTGGCGCAATGTGGCCGTGCAGTGCTCCACTTTATTTTCAAAGTTCGCGCGACTTTTCTGTACAGCCATCGCGACTCCAGCGACATCTTCACGATATCATAGTGCATCATGGCGCCCCAGACTAAGATAGATCGTTCATTCAGCGCATTAACGCCTGCCTTGTCAGAATGGATTCTCGAAGCTGTGGATTCCATGGGCTTCGTAAAGACTACGCCTGTGCAGCACGCAGCCATCCCCATGTTCATGAAGAACTCTGATGTTGTCGTCGAGGCTGTCACAGGGAGTGGAAAGACTCTAGCGTAAGGGCATACATTGCCAGACTCTATGCGCATCTAACAAGCTCCTAGTTATCTCATTCCCATCGTCGAGCGCTTGTTGCGACTGGATGCGCCTATAAAAAAGCATCACGTGGGTGCCATTATCATCTCACCCACAAGGGAACTTGCAACCCAGATCCACACAGTACTTTCGTCGCTTCTCAGATTTCATGCGCCCTCTGCAGCCTTACTGGATCCGGAAGATGAAGATACCGACATGGAAGACGCCGATGCTCCGCCAAAACCCACCTTTCCACCCGGGACGTTGAAGGTCATACCCCAGCTTCTTCTCGGAGGATCAGTAACGCCCGCTCAGGACCTGAGCAGATTCCTCAAATCATCTACCAACGTACTCATCGGCACACCGGGACGACTACTCGAACTCCTTTCTTCACCACATGTCCATTGCTCACAGTCATCATTTGATGCTCTCGTACTCGATGAAGCCGATCGTCTTCTAGACCTTGGCTTCAAAGATGACCTGCAAAGAATCCTCTCTCGACTACCTAAGCAACGCCGAACCGGTCTCTTCAGTGCTAGTGTTTCCGAGGCTGTGGACCAGCTGATTCGCGTGGGTCTCCGGAATCCCGTTCGTATCGCTGTCAAGGTCAAGGCGCGAGCTGCACCCAATAGTGCGACAGGAGAAATGGGCGCCATCGAAGACAAAAAAACGCCAGCAAGCTTGCAGATGACATATCTGACCATACCAGCATCGCACAAGCTACCCGCCATCAAGAAAGTCTTAAAGTCATTAGATCCGCAGCCGCAAAAGTCCATCATGTACTTGGCGACATGTTTCTCGGTCGACTACTTCCAACACATTTTACCTGAAGTTCTGAAAGGATACACCATTGTGCCTCTGCACGGCAAACTCCCGGACAAGGTCAGGAACCGCAACTTCGTCAAATTCGTAGAGAGTGTCACACCATCCATCCTCCTCACCACAGACGTCGCTGCTCGTGGTCTCGATATCCCGTCAGTTGACCTGGTCCTTCAACTTGACGCACCAAGCGACCCAAAAACCTTTATTCATCGCTGCGGCCGCGCAGGTCGGGCAGGTCGCAAAGGTCTAGCCGTCACATTCCTCAGTCCGGGACGAGAAGAAGACTACATCGAGTTCCTCCGTGTCCGACAGACCCCAGTATCCCCTTTAACAACACCTGAAGTCACAGTATCCGCGGAAGAAGCCACAGCCATGAGCAACCGTATACGGAAGGTAGTCAAGTCCGACAGAGCACTATTCGACAAAGCACAACGAGGTTTCGTCTCCTGGGTCCGCGCCTACAGCAAACACACCGCCAGCTCCATCTTCCGCATCCCCGATCTCGACTGGACAGAGCACGGCAACGCCTGGGGTCTCCTCAAACTACCCAGCATGCCTGAGCTCAAGAAATGGGACGGAGACCGCAGTCTAGGCGTAGTCATGGATTTCAGCACATACGCATACAAGGACAAAGCGCGCGAAGCACAACGACAGGTCGAGCAGAGCGAGTACGAAGCCAATAAGGCGGAAGGGAAGAAGGAAGGCAAGAAGCGATACGTCACAGAAGATAAGAAGGCGTCGGCGTGGACGCAGCAGAAGGACGCGAAGGCGCTCAAGGAATCACGGAGGGAAAAGAAGGCTGCGAAGCGCGAACATGATCGTGTTGCGGCGTTGACGGAAGATGAGCGGAAAGAGGAAGAGAGGGTGAAGGGCATGATTGACCAGGTTAGGAAGAAGGTCGCAGAGAAGGAAGCCCAAGAAGCGGCGGATGAGTTTGAGGGGTTTAGCGATTGAAAACCGGGTGTCTACATACCTTAATTACTTGTAGTAGTCTACGAGAGCTCTTACATCTGCTTTGACATGTTCTAAGTCACTCCGCGCTTTGACGTATAATAACTTAGCCTGTAAAGTCGCGCAAAAAGAGGCAAATCGAGTTCGTAAATCGAACGTAGCAAAACAAAAAGACTTGATGTTAGAGTCTAGAATCGAACTCTGCAGCAAAAAAGAATATCCTTGATCGGTGCTATCTACTTGGTTGGGTGTATCAAACCCGTCTTCTGTTTTCAAGCTGTGATGTAGGAGGAACAGCTTTGAGTGTCTCAAACTCGCCGTTGAACCCATTCGACCACCCGGAATGTTCTTATGAAAACTCATGATATTACAAGCAATATATAGGCAATATCAGGTTGCTGTGGGTAGCAACAGTGGATCACTCGCTAGACCTCTAGACTCTGCTCGCAGTGAAGGCGAGGCGGTGGAGGAGCGCTCGCCAGGCAACGGTGACGTACTGTCGCACAATGCAAACGCTCACCTTCACCTTTGAACGAAGAATCTTCTAGCGCGTCCAAGCTCTCCAGACTTTTCTCTCACTCTTGCGTCTTCTCATAATCTGGCGTCCTTTACCTTTACCATCTACTCCATCACTTTGCGCTTACTACCACGTCAACGCCACCATGGGTCTCTCAATAGCTCTTCACTGCCCCACCATCAACAAGACCAAGAGCGCATTCGGCCTCGTGCCATCCAAGAAGCACGATGAGATCCTCCAGGACATTCGCTCGCTCTTCGGTATCGACTACGCCGCCACCTACGACATCCGCGGCAAACCAATCGATGACATCTGCGCCTGCAAACCCGGCGACCTTGTCCAAGTCGCTACAGAAAAGTTCGAGATCATGGTGCCCTACTCGCCTAGGAACTGCATCTTCTACAATGGCGAAGAGATGGAGAAGATTACCGACGCATGGGCTGACGGTTACGGCAAGCCGTGGAAGGTATGAGTCGCTGCCTATCGAATTGCCTTTAGCAAAGACTGACTGAATGCTTAGGAACTCAACGACTCACAGCGGTGCGAACACATCACGAGCCTCGGCACAAAGGCAGAAGATTCCGTCTTGGTGAACACTATCCGCATCACGCGCCCGTACGTCGAGGTTCAACAAGAGTTGAAGGACATCGCCGCTGCCGCTCCTGAGGACATGGACACCAAGCAAAACCTCGGAACGGCTATCTTCACGAACTGGGGCAAGAAATGGGACATGCTCCTACCACCTACTATGAAGCCCGCCAACGACGAGATGTCCGCCAAGGTCCTCCGTCTTCTCGTCGCCCTTTCTTCTTTCACTCACGGTTCAGCGCGCCTAGTGCGCAGGTACCTCGTCGAAGCCGTCAATGCGCGCCTCTCTGGTCCGGGAGGTCGTGAGACGGATGACGCATTGTTGCGAGATGAAGACATCGTGCACGTGATCGGCACACTGTATGAGAAGGCGGATAGCTTGGCGGCCGAGATGGCGCTAGCCAAGGAGAAGAAGGTGCAGAAGAAGGTGAAAGACAAGACGCGGAAGCAGGCGTGGAGGGCGAGGAAGAAGGCGGCGAGAGGCAAGACGTCGTCTGATGTGGATGACCTTGCTGATTTGATGGATGTCGTTTAGGACTACATAGATTTTGTGCAGAAGAATATCAAGATGATGTACCGGCCAGACTCCTACATACCTGATAGACAGTAAAGAATGAAGCTTCCCAAACTCCATGTAGACATCTTAGTGATCAGTCATGATAGAGATGACAGCTTCCAAACTCCATGTAGACATATTAGTGATGAATGCCAGTAACGATTGAGTTTTTTGGAGTCCATGTCGTCATATCAGCGTCTCGAACTTTCAGGACTCGCAAGTCGGCTAATACCGCAACCACTGAAAATCATCATGCGCAAGTACTAAGTTGTGTCCTTCTCCCCATATCACCCCTTCCGTCGCAAACCGCAAAGAACCAATCTGTATCAGCGGGAACAGCCGGTCACAGTTGTTTGCGTCGAATGCCTTGAAATTGTTTGACGTAATCTGGAGAGTGTTGCGCATAGTGTTGTGTAACTTGCGGGCTTCGGCTTGGTCGACACGAAGCCGCCGCGACAAGGTGATTGGATTGTGGCCGTTTCCCCCAAGCGCTACCACCTTCGTTGGCGTACGCAGGTTTAATATCATACGTTCGGTGTATAACACACTGAAATGAGGATTGCCCTGGAATAATAGATTGGCAAGTGTCTTCAGGAAGATAGCAATGTAATCGAAGAGCTGTTTGGCAAAACAAGTCGGCGAGTGCTCCAACAAATGAGCCAGCTCATGCTCATGAGGAACAAAAGATTCGCGCGGCCCGTCTCGGAGGGGCTCTCTTGTGCGCAAGTCGACGTTGATAAGGAGTTGATTGATGGTAGGCGAAAGCGCCGCAAATTGAACCCAGCTCAACGAAAAGTACGGCCGGCCATGCGAGAAGGTAATGTCGAATTCGTAGTTGAGGCGTTTCGCAGCGACCAGGTGTTGGATTGCTTGCTTGAACTCTCCGTGTGTCTGGCGACATACGCGCAGCAGCCCGCGATAACACCGAAGCGGTAAATCGTTCCTCACGTAATGCTCTGACACCACCATAACCCCGCGGAAAGAACGCCCCAGCTCTTCGTTAAGCAACACCTCGTAGACATGATTTCGGAGTTCAAGTGGAAGATCCAAAAAGCCGGGCATGTTGTTGGTGACCAAAAGTGCGAATGCGCCTGTCGAAGATCAGGGTCCAGCGGCAGGCACACGGATGTTCGGAAGCGAGACCGAAGGATTGTTGAGTACAGGCCTGCACTCGCTGCTTGCGGGACCAGAGAATGGGGATGCGGGGATGACGACAAGGAGCTGACGTGATCAAGGAAAGTTTGCGGAGAAGATTGAAGTGAGGTTCAGCCTTTTCGACGAGGTTCAGTGTTGTGAAACTGATCGGTCCGTGCTACCCACGTGATTGGATCTGGGCTCTGGGATTTGCGAGCGGGCAATGGCGGCGCGGCGACTGCATCGTCATCGCTAAAGTGGTGTCTTATCCAAGATGGCATTTCTAGCCGGCCTGACTGCTATGCACACACGGACAGCGCATCGCATAGATGGATGACTACGAACTTGATCGCGTCGCGTCGGATAATCCTGCTCTGACTGCGCCTGCGGCCCAGCGCGCTCCCATACGACGGCTGAAGTCTCAGGGCCCGACATCAACGTCAGCTGCTCAATCTACCGGTTCCAGTACTACGGTCGCATCTGGGGAGTTGACAAAATACGATGTATGTTTTCAACACACGAGGCCTGGAAATGTACTCTAAACAAGCATAGGTGGGCTGGCGCAGGATTGTGAGGAACTTTTCGCCGTCATGGTTCTCCGTGACCATGGGCACGGGAGTAGTATCTCTACTTCTCGTCGCCATACCGTTCAAAGCAGACTGGTTGTACTGGCTTGCGGTGATCTTCTTTGGACTCAACACTATCCTGTTCGCCTGCGCCTTCTCGGTCTCTGTCTTCCGATATGTGGTATACCCTGAAATATGGACCGTCATGATCGCAGACAGTGTCAACTCGCTCTTCCTTGGAACCATCCCGATGGGATTCGCTACCCTAATTTCAGCTTGGTGCTCAATATGTATCCCGTATTGGGGGCCCTGGGCCGTTACCTTTGCTTGGGTCTGCTGGATGATCGATTCTGTAGTCGCTGTCTCAGTCACGATATCGCTCACCATCCTACTGATCTCCGCCTCTGATCGTCAGGCTTTGGATCGCATCACAGCAGCCCAGCTACTACCTATCGCTGCATCCATCGTCGCAGCTGGTACCGGCGCCAGAGTCGCAGAGCATTTGAGCAACCCGCAACATGCCCTCGGTACGATAATTGCTTCGTACATTATGTGGGGTATGTCTACACCACTAGCGATGACGGTTCTAGTCATGTACTACACGCGCCTGGCTTTGCACAAGCTACCACCACGAGAGATTGTTGTGTCATCCTTCTTGCCACTAGGACCCCTAGGCATGGGCGGCTATTCCATAACCTATCTTGGTTCGGTCAGCAGACGGATCTTTCCAGAGACGGATTTCTTCTCAGATATTCCCGTGGCAGGCGACATCTTCTTCGTCTTGGGGGTCTTCCTGGCACTCATCATGTGGGCGTTTGGTCTGACATGGCTCTGTTTCGCACTGGCATCTATCTACAAGTCTCGGCCGTTTCCGTTCAACATGGGCTGGTGGGGTTTCACGTTTCCCCTTGGGGTCATGGCGCTTAGTACAATGGAGCTTGGCAACATCTTCCCGAGTCTGTTCTTCAGAGTTCTTGGGACGATCTTCGCCGTAGCCGTCATTCTGCTGTGGTGCGTAGTAGCTGTTGGCACAGCACGCGGTGCATGGAGCGGTCGTCTGTTCAATGCGCCGTGCCTCAAGGACTTGCCGAAGAGAGATTCTACAGGTGAAGATGGAGCAGGGAAAGAGAAAGGGCTAGTGCAGACATGACCCTGAGTCACTATCATCGACACAAGAGGTGCGTATGTGAAAGTTCTATTGGGATCTCATAAATTGCGTTGCGTTTAATCGTAAGAGTATGTATGTGCAAAGCCCCTCGTCGCAAAGCATCAAGCCCCTCGCTGACCGCTAAAGGACCTCCAGTATACCCCGGTTCACTGCCTCAAAGGGTATTTCTAGTTGCCAGCTCCTGCAGCATCGCATTGTTCTACCACCTGATTAGCATCGTTCCAAAGGACTATCAATCATCGAACTTACGCTTCTGAGCCTGGCAATCCTGAGTGGAGAAGTCCCCCTGTCCGCCATTGGCCAAGTTCGCGCAGCCGTTGAACTGCTGATCGCAAGAGCGCTGGAGAGCACCCGAGAGGTTGACAAAAGTGTCACCCTTGACACTGAAGGGGCGGTTGGCGATGCCGGAGTCGAGGATGGGTGTAGCAGCGACACCACCGAGAGCGCCGGTGAAGGTCTGCGCGTTGTTCTGGCGAACATAGATGGCGCGTGCGTTGCTGAGAGCAGCGACGCTAAGAACGATGAGGGTGCTGGTGAACTTCATGTTGACAAATTGAAGTATTTGGAATGAAAGTGCGTTAAAGCGATGGGTATCTTGATGTGCTATTGAATGAATGGGGCGACCGAGCGCTGAAGAAGTGAAGTAAAGAGAATGAAATGAAGTGAACGTGAGATGAATGAGTGTTGGCTTGATGATGAGCTTTTCGCAGAGGCATCCTTTCCTACATATATAGTCCTACATTTGCCCCCACGGCGCCTACACTCAGATCTACAGCACTTCTGTCAAAATTACTAGGCGGGGTCACAATGCTAGCGTCCGCCGATGTTGGTGTTCCAAAGTGCTGCCTCAGGCACCTGAAACCCCGCAGGTCTTGGAGCCGACACACCAAATGCCTCATTACCTTCGAATCGGCTACGCGACTAAACAACTACACCATTCAACCTACTGTTAAGAGTGAAAATGTTTATAGCGCAGGTTTGACAGGTGGTGACAGCTGCTTGCAGCCATGATCCTGGATTTCGCGAGCCGCGTGGGTATGGCGTCGTTTGTCTCGGTGTGCTTCATGTAGTGATTATAACCGCGGCGCGACAATATGTGATACGTTATAGTGTTCGAGAATGTCGTTGAATGAATCGAGGATTCTGTAGTGAGTCGCATCGACGCACATGAGGTGGCATGCGGATCTGACGTGCGACCTTCCGAGGCATGATCAGCCATGGCTGCGATTGATGATATGTGATGCACGTTATTGTTCTTCTATATCTTTCAAATAGTTCCGGCAACGCCGCTTTGCTACGACTTTGTAGGCTCATATGTATAATCGTTTCCTGTCCAGCTTTCCTACGTTCCTGTCGGCCCTCGCAAATGCTATCGCGCCTACGGCCTCATTCGGGCAGACATCTCCTATGCGTACAGGGTAATCGCGCATCAACGCTGTTCTCGCCAATCCAGTCAAAGTAGTTCCTCCCGTAGGCGTTGGGACATAAGGATTCAAAAGCGTCAGCGAGGACGCATAGCCGATGATATCCGGTGCGATCGTGATGTACTTGAGTACGAGTCCGGTGTACGCGGCGGCAAGCAGTATGAATGAGCAAACCAATAAGGCTGCGAACCATCTCCAATCTGTTTTGTACATTGGCGTCGTATCCTGCGATACATTGGCTTCGGTCGCGACGAATGTAATATTGGCATCTGCACGTTGTGCCTGGGTGAAGTTCATAGCGCCGGTTTCCATCACGGATGCTGGTAAATTTCCGCCGATCGCTCTGCTGGCGTATGTGGACTGCCAGAATGTGTTGTACAGAATAGTCAGACGGTCGCCGAAGACTTGCGGCGACAGCTTGTAGAGTTCGGCATTTCCAAAGAATACGCCGGTGAAGTCGAGTGGGTCCTGCAGCCATTTCTCCATAGTCGTCGCGCCTCGAGCAAATGCAACAGGCATATTGAAGTTGTCCGCGCTCGTCATGGCGAGGAGCGCGGTAGCCATGAACTGCCTCCTTAGGGCAATATCGTAGCCTATTGGGTAGTCCTCGTCATACAAGTACATCTTCCTCATCTTGTAAGCGGCACACTCCGTCCCATTGCAGCGTACTCCGACTTCGTATTTCTCGAACGACAGCCCACAATTCGCCACTGAGTACTTTCCTGTATCCAAATCGACGAGAGATTCACTCCGGATTGGGCAGGGGTAACTAGCACAAACCGGGGGCGCACAGAACGTCTCGTTCTTTTTACAAGGCGGCGGCGCTGTATCGTTAACTACTTGGAGTTGCCACGTGTATTTTGACACAAAATCTATAGGTTCTCCTCGTGATGCATTGTTGCTTGAACAGGTCACGTCAAATTGGCGAGCTTCGATGTTGAAAGAGCTAATGCCGACCGAGGGAGGCCCGGCTATCGGGATACCGATTAGGGAAGCGTATGTGACGTTGTCGGCTGTACCGTTAGGCACAAACTTCCACTCGTCAGACGTACTGTTCTCGATAGTACGGTAGAGCGGGAGTTTGACATTTCCCCATAGGTCCATGGGTGTAGTACGGTATCTGGTGCTGCTGAGTATAGATGTGAGGAAGATCGGAGTGAAGGAGCTACGGCCTGTACCTACGAATAGTGTAAGTATAGAGCCAGTTTACGTCTGAAATGAGCTTGGCATATGTGAACTTACTAAGGGTACTAGCAGTCTCCATTAATGAATCCATAAACGTCGTCGGATGGAGGTAGCGCACTTGTTTGGTAAACTGGACGTTTCCAATCTCTTGGTCAATAAGACGAAGTGCAGACTGTCCACCGACTGGCGAAAGGAGCCAAATCAAGACGGATGCAAGTCCAAGCATAGACCAAGATCTCAGACAAAATTGACGTTCGAGTGCGGAGAAGACAGATTGGCAACCAATCAGCTGTTCGAGACGACCGAGAGTTGTGCCTCGTTGAGCAAGGAAGAGACCAACATGTCGGAAAAACCTTCCCATCAAGGCCGCGAAGATTAGGGGGAAGATTGTCGGCGAAAGGAGAAGTGTTTGTTCCAGTTTGGTACCGTAGTCCGACACTTCTTTTCCGTTCAACCTGGCAGCGATAAGGGCCAGAGCTGTAGCATGTCAGCAAGTGTTCGATGTAATCGTTGAAGCAGCTCAGTATGGTCGCGCTGAGATTGATCGTACTCACCCAGAAACATGATAGGCGATGAAGCCAAAATCACATCGAAAACCAGGACCAGTGCTTTCAATGGCGTAATCCTCCCAACTTTCCGTAAATCCGAAGGCCATTTCTGCGATACGCCCTTCGTATTATCAACACTGTATTCCGTATCGCTATCCTGGGGAACATGCGGGGCGGTATTGTACGCCCCGGAATCGTATTGGGTGTTCAGGCCGCCATCATACTCCACCGACACATGTGGACCTTTTGCCTGGGGTCCAACGGGTTCATAAGCCATGGCGTTTGAGCGTACCGGAAACTCTCGTCGCCAAAATTGAAAAGCAGTAATGAAAAACGAAACAGAGAAAGGAAAGCTTGAACAAGTACGCAGGTATCAGGAAGGATTCTAAGGACGGAGCATGAAATATGCTGCCTGCCACCTGCATTTTTTTGGCCCCAATCACACACATGCGGCATGGTACCTTGCAGCGGGCACCGCCCCGCCTCGGAACGGGGGTTAAGTTCGAAAGAACATGCGCGATAAGCGGCTGAGGCTCTCGGTGAGGCTCTCAAACTGTAGGATCGTAGATAAGTTGACGCCGCATTGGGGCCATCATGTGTTGCGCGCGAAGTCGACGACGCTGTGTGGTGGATCGGATTGTTTTTTGCCGCTAGGATGCTAGCGTGGTCCGAAAATAGGCTAATGCAAGGGTCATGATGTCTGCACTCTGTCAAACGCGACATGGAACGCCGCCATGCATTCCCCACATCTCCAACACCATACCGCCACACGACAGCCTTGGACCCAAGTACGAGCAGACCGGATACCACGACACCGGAATCTTCTTATTTCCGAGTTGATCTAGCCCGTGCGATGTTGCCAACCTTGCGCGTTGGATAACCCGCGCAATGAGGATCACGGCATTTCTCTGGGCAACCGGGACCCATATCCCACGGCGAATGAGCAGAAGTACCGTCAGAGAAACTCTGGGGCTATCTGAGAAACAATGGCCAATCTTCCTGGTACAAATCTCGATCAATTAGATGTCGCGACGCGCTCATAGTGCTGACTTTCTCGCAGCGTGTCTCACTTGCAGTTTGCAAAGACTTCACACGCTCCACATTGACCGAGCTCACTGCAAAAGAAAAGGAATATCTGATTCAAACGATCAGGGAGTCTGTAGTAAAGGAAGGGCTTCCACCTGTAGACGATGAAGGGATTGAGTGGCGTGTATCAAAGGTTCTGCCAGAGCTGCGCCACTATCAGCGCTGTATGCATGCACGGGGCACATGACGCTTATCGATGCTAACCGATAACAGTCGCAGATCAGTACGAAGCCTGGGAGAAGGTAGCCCAGAGATCATTCCCTTATGTAAGTACAATGTCGTGCATTCGCTCGGTGACACGGGGCGTTGTCACATGTTCTAACCCATTTTCCAGAAAGTACTTCGCGAGGCGGTCAATGCAAACATGGAAAAGATTCCCAGAAAGGGGCTCCGCTACTGGATGGATATTCCCGAAGATGTTCGAATGGAACTCGCAGAAGACGTTAACAGGCGACTTGACGAAAGTGGCCTGCCTACGATGGACGAAGAGGCCGTGTTGTATCGGCTCAGAAAACACGTGAACCATTGGATAAGGGACCACCATGTGTCGCAATGACGCGCCTCACTTCAATGTAAGCAAATTACATCAAATCTCATTAAATCTGGTGGGTTCAAGAGCATCACGATCGCGTCGTCTCTTGGGATAGCTTTGGGGCAGAAGTAAATTCGTTACCTGGGGTGGTCTTAGCTAATAGTGTGTAGTTAGAACGGAGCCGCCAAGACAGAACGATGACTAGCTTCAAGCGATTGCTGTATCAATCGAGAGCAAGTCCACACACTGTCCTCGCTCGAAGCATCTGTTCCGAACAACCAACCCAACTTCATTCCTTCGCCCACTCGTACTGCAAGCCACTGATGCCACATATCAGGCAACCGGCGCGGATGGTAGAGTCGTAGACTACTACTTCCTCCAGACAATGAGCTTGCCTGTTCCCTTACCCACAGCATCCAGCCATCCCTTGAACTGCGCAACGTCAACCCGGAAGCCTTCAACAAGCGGTATACTCCCAGCGTGCTCCATCTTGGCGACCGTTCTCTTCAACGTGAGCGCACCCTTTTGAGGCCCAATGCTCGATGCAGCTACCTGAGGCAGCTCCGAGCTGCTGGAGGCCGAGCGAATCTCGCGATGGAGATGCGTCTGGCCACGGCTCCCGCTCACGAGATTCTGCAGGGAAGCAAAGCTCTTCAGTGGCTCCTTAGATGATGTCGGGGTCTTGGGCGGGTTACCAGGAGCAGGAGCAGCCTTCTCGGGGAATACAGGGTGCAGGCAACTCGACACGTTGGTGACGGCGGAGATGTGCCACGCGAGCATGATATGCGGCGGCGCGATGTCCTCAGGCGAAGTGGGGTGACCCTTGATCAGGACGTACGCCCATCGTCCCTCTCCATGGATGGCAAGATGAAACTGGTCCTGAGATCGAGTCGCCTCTCCTCCCGGCCCACGGTACCCGCGTCCAAGCTTCAGCTTCTTCTTCATTTCCTCGAGCTTCGTATGCTTTTGCTCTTGCTCCTCGAAAGCAGCGCGTTCCTCCTTGCCACGGATTACGTCGACTTCTGCGTAGGCGATCTCAGCCGCATCACCTGGACCCAAGAACCTGATCTCCTTGTGGGGAACAACGCTGGTGTCGTAGAAGCCGACGGAGATGAGGTGGTTGTAGATCGGAGCGGTGACGGGGAAGGGAAACGAGGCATGGGCGCGGAATGCCTTGGGGTTTGGAAGGCGCCGGTAGAATGACTGTACTGTGAAGGACCAGTTCAGGAGGATGGTGAGGAGCGCGGGAGTATACCCGGGGAAATCGATATCCCATGAAGATGACTTAGGAAGGGTTGGTAGGCCGGTTGTGCCGTCTACCCGGGAACCTTTGGGAGCCGGGCCGGAGAGTTCATCACCGCCTGGAGGCGTACGCTTCTTAGCTGACGAAGGCTCTACTCCTGATGGGTCGTGGATGGCGAGGGTATCTTGAATAGGTGCCATAGGTTGCTTACCCTTGGCTGTTGGAGTAGACATGGGTTCCTTACCTTTGCCCTTGCCCTGTCCTTCATCCCAAGTCTCTGCCTCAACTTGAGGAGAAAGGAACAGCGGCTTATCCGGTAGAGGCTTTTGCATATCCGCCGCCTGACTCAGCACATTCAACCCAAGGTTCTGCATCTTCTTATCGAGTCCATACTCCTCCAATCCAGCCTCGAACTCTTCCTTTAGACCCTCCGGCATGTCAGGCGGCATAACGAACGGCTCTGGCGGTGCTATGCCCAAGACGCGGTGCAGCCTCTTCGCTGCGTCAGTGGCTCGAGCGAGACCTAAAGCGCGAGTCGTCTTGCTCTTTCGTGATTGCGAGGAACCAGGCTCGGGCTTGTTGTGAACGTCAGGCTCTGGAGACGTCCAATCATCGAAGCCAGAGCGAGGTGGAACTGGGTTCACAACTGGTGTCTGAGGACCTATTTCATTGCCCACTTTCTCTTTGTCAGTCGTGCTCAGTTGAGGTGTAAATTTGCGCAATGCGAAGTTCAGGGATGAAGTAGTATTGGGCGTGTCGAGCTCGGGGAGGTCGATAGGGGACTTTAGGTTAGTGGGTGTGGGCGGCTGTGAGCTTTCTGCCTTACCCTCATCGCTGGCTTTGGGGCCTTCTTCGGTGGCATCTTTGGCGTTGCCTTTGTTCTTGTTTTTGCGGCGGTTCTTGCTGCGGTTTTTGTGACCGCCAGCCATGGTGAAGGTAAGGGGGATGGGATCGAGCAGCTTGCTAGCTACAGTCTTATAGACGACCCCTTCGGGCTGTCTTTGGATAGCAAGTTCTCGCTCTCAAGATGGCGAGTTGTTTGGTGAGGGTAAAGGTGTAAAGGAAGGAGCAGTCGGAGAGATGGGCAGGGACGTAGGCAACGACGACGGCAACGAATCCGCGGTGACCGCGAATCCAAGGTGACTGCACATCCATGGTGGCCGACGAAAAGGAGTATCACAACAAACAAAGCAAACCAAAAACTCGACGTGAAGCAGGAAATAACCTGGATTACCATTACGACATCCTCAAAAGGTGTCTAATTATACTATCGCACGTGGTATCATGTCGCCTTATCCAAGGCTCCGATCATTCATCACAGCAGTGCGAAATCTACTCAGTGGTAGAGAAAACGTACTGGGCCTCGAGCGTGTAAGCTCCGCTGGAGGGACCAAAGATCTGCTCCTTCTCGCGCCTCCATTCGGGGTGGTTGATGGCGTCAATCCAGTCCTGAACCTCCATGACGACGCAGCCGTACTTGGGGACGTAGCCGCTGCTTCCCTCGGCACCTTGGGTAGACTTGATAGGCAGAGTACCTGAATTTCTTGTTAGCGGTTTTATGAGACTTTTGTGAGATTCACATACCATCTTGACCGGGGCAGCTGTACATCTGGTAAGCGGCCTGGTCGGAGTAGACATCGAGCTTGATGCCGGACCACTCGCTCCACAGAGAAGCGACAGGTCCAGAGTTGCGCCAGTCGAGAGCCTCGGCCTCGTCGCGGTTGACGAGGTAGCAGTTGTCGTAACCGGTGCAGTTAGTTCCGCAGTTGCCGAGAAGCTCGGGCGCAGTCTGGTTGGCACCAATCTGCTTGGGCGCCGACCAAAAATCGTTGACAGAGTATTGCTCGTTGGGAAGAATAGTACCGGTGGGGATAAGAATGGCATCTACATCCATGCGCTGGCCAGAGTATGGGATGTGGAAAGTGTGGTTGAAGATGGTCTCATCCTCAGGGTTACCGAATCCGTCCAAGTTCCAGTAGGTCTATCTTGATTAGCATTGCAACATGCATCAAAAAGCAATTTACTTACGTGAGAAGTCAACATGATGGGCGTCTTCTTGGTCGTAGCAAGCGCTACGATCTTGATGTTCCAGGTGTTTGGGGTCATGGTGTAGGTAACGTAGCTTACGACCTCACCGGGGAAGCCCTCCTTTCCGTCGGGATCGACGATCGAAAAGGTGATGGAATCCTCGGTGTGCGCCACAACAGTGAAGTTGCGGTAATCCCATCCATCCGGTCCACCGTGCAGGGTGTTGTTGTTGTTGTTCTCGTTGGGCTCGATGAAGAACTGCTCGCCATCGATGGAAAAGGTAGAGTTCCGAATGCGATTGGCGTAACGGCCGGGCACACCACCCAAATGGGGGTGAACCTCGCCCTCGTAAGCAGTCGCGTTGTCGAAGCCGAGAACAATGTCGCGCTCAACACCGTCCTTGCCCATGACGAACAAGTTGGAGACGGAGGCGCCATATGGGATGAAGTGACCGCGAATGCCCTCAGACGAGATCTCGTACTTGCCGTCCTTATCAGGTCCGGACGAGCTCGAGTTGGTCGGCGGGGTGCTGTACTGCGCGAGGGCAGTCGCAGCAAAGAGGGGGAGTGCACTTGAGAACCGCATCGTGACTTGCCAAGCTCGATCGAGTTGAGAAGTGGAGGTGATGTGATGTGGTGTGGAGAAGAGTACGGGGTTGACGGGCGGAGGGTTATTATATACTGCTATAGACGAACAGGCTACCGGCGTAATTACCGTTCCACGATCCTGTGACTAGGATCCATCCCGCATATTCTCACTTCTCCAGCCTCCGGGTTTATGGTGCTAATGGGCTCGTACTGGGGAAAGTGCGGGTCGCCGCTCGAGGGTAGCGAACGTGCGCTTCTTCCCCGCAGGAAGGCCATGTCAATTTCCCCAGGAACGCGGCTATGACGAAATCGGCCCGCGTAAGCTCACAGAAGCTGCATACTAGTCACATCTGTGCCATGGAGCGTGACGATCAGCTGTCGCACAAGGTTGTCGCTCTCAATTGCAGTTGTCCTTCGTTCGTGTTGTATCATGAGGCATCCAGCTCCATCGCAAGCTCGAAGCCTCGGTCGTCATAGCTCTCAGAAGCGCGACTACACAATCTCACTTGACAAGGATTAGTCTAGTAAAAGGCACCGGCAAAAGTCGCCATTCGCGGAAAATAGCGGAAAAAACTAAACGCGCCCCCTTCACAGGCAGAACAACGTGGAGATGGCTTGTTGTTTACGCGGAGAGCGGCTGGGGTGAAGTATCCCTGCCGATGAGCTTACCCGTTGAGGCGGAAGCTTGAACCACGCCACATGTCGTGTATGCAAGGTCGGGATGGTATACTGCATGCAGCAATGACACCGCCATTTGCATCATTTTACGAAGCAGCTCGTCATTCATCATCACGCCCTGATCATACAGATGCAACATGATTTCGGAAGACATTAGATTAGATCGCGCCATGTTCTGTTGTTCTACGAACAACCGCTACATACATGAGTCGGGTATTCTCGTTGATTATAATCGTACACTCTTTCTGCAGCTCCAATCACTACTACACTCGATGAATTCTGCTTCATTTTCGCTGACGCTTACAGTCATTTTCCATACAACCGTCTCCGTTTTCGTCCCAGTAAAACGCGCAAACTGGCTCCCCGGCTAGATTCAACGGTATTCCGCATCTGCACCAGGCGAGAACGGCGATCCGAGAGCTGCATACTGTCGCCTCGAACCGTCGAACTCCAACTCGTTGCCGTTATTCCAGTGTGAATCGGCGAAAGAACGTGAGGGAGGAGGGTACTGGTGTGATCCATCAAGAACCGGCAAAGCCATGTGTACTGGCACGTGAACACCTCGAAGGCCAAGTCCCTGTGTCGTGTATGGGTACTGGCGACCGTATGCAAGAGACTCCTCACGGCGATCATCTGAAGCATTCTGCCAGTTGGTGATGTACTGCCTGTTCTGTTCAGCAGCGGCTGCCTGAGCATCGAGATGAGAGACCACTGAGTCGATGCGTCCTTGCGGTCGTGGCGCGTCGATCTCGGATGCGACGTTGACAGCAGTGAGCAGGTCGTCGAAACTTGATCGAGTAGGCAGCCGATGAGAATGATAAGAGCTCATGTGTTCGATAGGCTGCTCCCTCTCTTGGCGGGACCGCGAAGTGTCGGCAAAAGAATGGTTGCGGTCTCCAGAGGTAGGTACCATCGAAGGCACCAATGGGGCTTCTTGGGTCAACGTTTTCGGTTTCAGAACGGCCGATGAAGGCTTTCGTTGTGCCACGCCCTCTCTGCAGCTCGGATGCTCGTTCCAGCTCACGTCTGGCTTGTTGTTCTTCGCCCAACAACCGCTAGTTGTCTCCAGATCATCAAGCTTCTTACCCCAGTGGTGTTTCTTGACCTTTGACCTGCCGGAAAATCCCTTGCCGCACAGACTGTGAATGTATGGCCCTCCTGTTCCTTGCGACATGGTGTTTGCCTCTCTGATCTTCTTTTCCGGCTGGGTTGGGTCTAAGAGTCGATCAGCGATCTCGGCATATTCTTCTCTTGGTTCCTCCTTCGTCTTAGCCTGGATTGTTGAGCTTTGACGACGACGGCGTTTCTTTGATGGAGGGGGCATCTCGTCGATGGGCTGGCCGATGGGTACAGCGACGGGTACTCCAAGCACAGATGGGCTAGCGGTGGCAGTCTTTCCCTTCCTTGGCGAGAGAGCTGGAGACAGTTTGGTTTGGTAAGAGATTGCTGGCGAATTGAAGTGATTGCCGGTGGGAGACTGCGCATGGTCGAGCATCGGACCGTTGGTGACAGAAGACCAAGGCTGGCTATAGTAGGTATGATCATCCTCGTGCCATAGTGGAGAGATTCGGGGTAAGCGCATCTGAGGCTGATGAGCCGGCTGCAGGAATTGAGGGCTAGGGCTGGGTTGTTCGAGAGGCTGGCGGAACCCAAAGTCGAAGTCGCCCACGCCTGGAGGTAGACGCACGACGTCAGTATATGTCTCACATGCATTTCGTATAGTCAAAACTTACCCCAGTCGGCCTCTCTGTGAAACAGGATATTCAGAAGATCTTGCTTGAGGTCTGCATGATCTCCGAGCGTGTTCCTGATCGCAACGAGTGTGTCTTTCTTCGACATCTCTCCAGCTCGGAATGTACCAAGGATGTTCAAGATGCTGATGACCTCAGTCGAATGTTCACCGAATCGGAGCTTCGATAGTCAGTCTCAGATACTACGGGAATGCACCCTATTTAAAGGAAAAACTAAATACCCTAGAGCCTACATTAAGATAAAAACTTATAAAGTTAGTAGCTTAATAGCAACGTAGGCTCCTAGGTGTTTAGTTTTTCTCTTGTATAGGGTGCAGGGTCTAAGATAAGTGCAAAAGCAACAACGCACCTTAATGTTGTCCAGGAATATGTAAACGACCTGCCCGATAGTCGGTTGATGACCACGACTCACGTGCTCGTGTCTGCCGTTGATCGTTCCGGAGTGGATCATTTCGGTTGGGTGTCGCGATTGCTGCGCAATATTGAGCATGTTGTCGCTGTCGAGAGCTTCCATGACGTTCGTCCAGGCGGCAGCACGGTCACTATCTCTTGGCCACAACCTTCAGTCCAATCTCAATACCGGCGTTGATGCGAGATATTTGCAGAATTGATGGGTGCTGGAGCCTCGTGGTACAGGCGCTCGGTCCTCAAATAGCCGAGTCTGGTCTGCGAGCAGCGATTGCACCTTCCGGTGAAGTGAAGATGAAACACGTGAGCGCGTGTCGCCCACCGCTTTTCGGTCTCGCGGAGGTGGAAACGCAGTATCTCTCGTTTGTATAGCGCGGGTAGGAGTCTTCGTGGGTTGTTTGCACATAATGTGTCACAAGCAGGGTCTTCTAGGCCCCATTGGGACGACTGTTGCATCTCAAGGAAGTCGCGATGACTGCGGAGGAATATCGCACTCCTCTTCAACGATTCGATTTAAGGCAGCTGATACAAAGCGACAAGCATATACTTAGACCAAAAAGCGCGGAGTGGATAAAGTTTTCATACGTACGTTTGAGACACTCGGTATGAGGCCGCATCACCTCACACAAGAAAAAAACTAAACAGGTCTGCAGGCTACATTAAGCCAAAATCATGCAAAGGCGGTGACCCAGCGCTAATGTAGGCTCTAGGCTGTTCAGTTTTTTCCTCGGTTTGCGTGGCATCCTAATAACCCCCTTCCAGTGTCACCAACTCGTTCAGCATCACTAAAGAAACCTCATACATTACGTTCGTGTATCTTTCGATGCAATCAAGCGGCCTCTGAAAACCGTTTGGCGAGTATGGCCGGCATCATACACCACCTCTACCACGCTCTTTCTGCAGTGCCAGCCACTGTCCATTCGGTCGAACAACACAAAGTCGGCAGGCTGACCCGGATTTAGGGCGAGAGACGTCGAATCGCAGCCAATAGCGGTCTTTGCCCGTGTAGATACGGTTTCCTGCATGGTTAGCATGAGCAAACGGGGTGTTGAACGGCTGCTTACATATAGGAGTTCAGCGTCTTTCTTTGTACCAGCTTGGTAAAGACCGACACCTAGTGATGCAATGCTCTAGTTACAGTTTCAGCGACATTTGTGTATGAGCATTAAGGCGAGATGTCTTACCAGAGGATCGCAGTTCCCGTACGGTGTGAACGCGTTGCCCACGTTATTAACGGCAATGGCAGCATTGAACCCGTACTCGTTGATGAGTTCAACGACCGGCAGAGTCCCGCGCACATTCTCTGGTGTTCGCATCATGAACAGGTCGGAGGTTGGCAGGCCTACGAAAGAGATTGGCAGGTCGCCTACTTCTTGTCTCAGATGCGTCCACTCGTCGTTCCGGAATCTCGTCAATCTGGTGCAATGTCCTAGCGTAATTTGCCTGTCTCCCGCCTTTTCTTTCCATTTGAGCTCTTTGAACATGTCCAGGGTATCCCAGACCAGTGGCTTCTTGTCTTCTTCCAGGAAGTAGTCAAGATGGAGATCTAGATGCTTCTGGTATTTAAGTGCTAACTGCGTGATCCATTTCACGTTATCCTTGGGCTTTTGTTCATCATCCTCGACATATGGCGTGCTTCCGAGTACATCCACTTTCTCATACGAAGCAGCGCTAGTCATCAGCTTCCTTACTTCCTCGCCCCCGTCTTGGCCAGTAAACAGCGGGAGCTGGGCGAACGCGCAGATCTGCACTTCGCATCGGTCCTTGAACATTTCTTTCAGCTTGAGACCTGCGTCCAAACATTTCATGTGCACCACCCCGTCCACTTCTACAAACGCCCGCATAGCGGTCACACCATGTTGGACACTCTCTTCGATAAGACGCGCGCCCCTCCTCAGGAGATCATCTTCCTCAAACCTTGACTTAGCCTCACCCGTCATCGACATGGCTTCCGTGAAGTCGCCGCTCTCGATCTGTAAGTCGCTGAATTTCGGGTCTTGTAGGAGGAAGCACTTGTCAAGGTGAATGTGGGCATGACAAAGCGATGGCGCTATGAGACGATTGCCTCCATCTAGCGTGTCTTCACTGCGCCCGTCCGAATCCTTGACATGGCTGTCTACCGAAGCAATTCTCCCATCGTTGATCGTGATGTCCCAGAGTGTCGACGACGGTTTATCCGGTATACGCACGTTGGTAATTCTTCTGAGAGGTTTCTTTGACTTTTGGTCCTCCATGCTTCCTCCTCTTCACTCACGCCAAAGACTAGAGTGCCGGGTGTCGACTGGTCTTGCCTGTTAGGTGCAGATGGGAGAAAAAGAAAGGAAGAAGGAGAACAGGGGACAGCGATAATGACGCTTAGATAAACTTGGAGGATACTAGATCGCTTCACTGAACGAGCGTCAACGAGTGCCAAGACGGATGCTGAAGCAGTGAATGAGACGGGGCCCCAATAGCAGCGAGAAGCACCTCTTGAAGGCTGCTATTTTACATCACACGCGGGTCCCTGATGTCGATGAGGCTGGAAATAGATGGAAAAGCTTGTGCAGTCGAGGGCTGGGTGGGGGTGATGCCCCGCATGGCCTATAGGGGGAGCTAGAGTATCCGTGCATGCACGTAGTCGTACCTAACCTCGACGCGTCTCGAAGAAGTTACCATCCTATCCACCTTCCATCTCCACTGACGCGCTTTCATCGCGAACTTCGCTGCCGTTCATTTTCGCACACTTTGCACCATGCAACCGAACTATCAGGCACGGGGATATAATTATCCGCAACAGCACAATGCAGCTACGCCATCCCGGCGACCAGGTAAGTACCCATTGCCAACCACAGCTTCCCCAACACGCCCCATCGCACCGACCGCCTGCGCATACCTTCCGTAAAAGACGATGATTAGTAGGAACGACCTCGCTCACTTGTTTCGCAACCCAGGCCCCATTGTCCACGCTGCGCACCCGGCTGCGCAACCGCAGTACAACAACGCCAACATGCAGGCTTCGCAGCGCGCCGAAGCTGAACGCCGCGAGAAGATGCGCCGAATCGCGAAGAACCCGACCGATAAGAACATTCCCGAGGGCGTGGAAGACGTGTGCATCGGCGACGCCGTAGCCCGCTACAAGGAATTGCGCGAGGTCGAGCGCACGCTGGATGCGACCATGATGCGCAAGAAGCTGGATGTCATGGACTCAAAACACCATTCGCGCGCATCGCGCTACGGCACCATGCGCATATGGATATCAAACACCGCCGAGAACCAGCCTTGGCAGAGCACCGGCCTCGACGCAGACGCTTTCGATTTTGACGGCGAGAACAACGCGACATACCGCGTTAAGATCCAAGGCCGCCTGCTCGACGAGGACGGCGACGAAGGCCTCGAGGAGGATGAGGACGAGGAGAAGGACGCCGATGCTATGTATGTCGACCTTTTACTTGCGCCGGCGCCAGTTCGAGCGCCTGTCGGTCGGATTTTACCACGTACAGCAAAACTGACTAGCATCTAGGGATGAAGACGGAGCCGAGAAAAAGCCAGCCGCGAAGCCCAAGCAGTTCTCACACTACTTCACGTCCATCAACATCGATTTCGACCGCGCCAAGAGCTTACAACCTGACAATTTCACGCAAATCGAATGGAAACGACCCGAGAACCCCACTGCGAAGGAAGCCAACTTCAGCGAACTCGAGTTCGAGCGCAAGGGCGACGAGAACATCAACATCACGATCAACCTACAGCGGTACCAAAACCCCGAGGTCTTTCGCCTGAGCAAACCTCTCGCCGAGCTGCTTGACACCGATGAGGAGGATCGCGCTGGTGTCCTCATGGGCATCTGGGAATACGCGAGGTCGCAACACCTACAACAAGAAGACGACGAGCGCAAGTTTGCGTGCGACGCGAGGCTGAAGGCCCTGTTCGGTGGCCAGGACCACTTCTTCTTCCCGAACCTGCCCCAACTCATCAAGCAACACCTCACGACTCTCCCACCAATCCAACTACAATATACGATCCGTGTGGACAAGGATTACATCTCGCCCGCTGCCGACTCTGGCAAGACCCCCTCCGAACCGACTGTGTACGACGTCCAGGTAGCACTCGAGGACCCGATGCAGCCGCTGTTCCAAGACATCCTCCGCCGACCAGATAGCATACAGACCCTGCAAGAGATCCAGAAGATTGACGAGCAGCTCGTGCTGTTGATGGGTGCAATCGGACAGTCGAAGGCGAAACACGCCTTCTTCACCAGCATGTCCAAGGACCCCGTGGCCTTTTTCAAGCGCTGGTTGTCCAGCCAGAAGCGCGACCTGGAAGTGCTACTCGGCGAGGCCACACGAGGTGGCGGCGAAGACGTGTCTGGCGAGGAATGGCGACGAGGCGGAGCTGATGGCGTATGGGGCAGTGAAGTCGCAAAGGAGAGCGTGGCCTTGTGGCTCGCCAGGTCCAGCATCAAGCCTCATTAGGTAGAGGCCTTGGAAACTCAGGCCTTGGAAGTTCAGGTCTTGGAAACTGAGACTTTGAAAAAATAGGAGCTTGATGGCTTGCTGCTTTATTGGTTTTCTTGCTAGGTGGTAGGAGTTTGCGCTCGTGTTATGGAGAGCCGCGTGAAAAGACGGCGTTCATATTCGATACCCAACGATTAGTTCCTTCCTCTCAGCTTCGACCTGCAATGTGACTTCCAAGGTTGAGACAATGCGGCTTAGTTTCGACCGGAAGCAGCTAGCGGGGTTAGTCATCGATCTCCCGCCTTCCTGATGCCAGAGTGGTATTCTGTGTATCTGGTACCTCTGCGGCACGAATCAAATCAGCGACATTTACCCGGCATCTGTTGTAGTGCCCGCTCGCTTCTTAACACAGCCGACGATGCTGTTGCCAATCCATACCTAGGTATCCTGCTGTCACCCGTTCAGTCGCGGTCTTCCGTCCTATCAACTACGAACCCAGAAGGCACGATGCATAGCAACAAAGGTTGGCCAATTTGTCGAAGCATACTAGAGGCACGTTTAGCGCTTCAAGGCCGCGTTCAGATACCACGAGGCTGAAGTATGGCGGCAATATGTGGATTGTCCAATGACAAGCCCTGACAAAATCAGTATGCCTCCAGCTCTTCTCAGCCTTGTGCCATGCCGCATGCAGACCTTCACACATCGTCTCGATCATATCGCAGAATCTTCCTGCAGATAGCAACTTTCCGGCAGTCTAAGGTGGATGTATAGAACCCCGTCACTATGCCTCCAGCTCCCGTCGTCGTTGTTGTAAGTACGATACTGTGAGGACGCTTCCACGACGTTCCTAGCTCGAAGGTCATCCACCAACCTCCGCGAACTATGACCGCTCCACCGGAAATCAACCATGCGCCAGACTCGCTTCAGCCACGCGCCGCCACTGGAAATAGTCTTAGCGATGGCGCAATCATGGGAATCATGATAGGAAGCATCTTTGGTCTACTTCTCCTCGCCACCTTCTGGACGTGTCTTCTTGGGAGCCCACTCGCTGGGATCTAGTATAACAGATCTTTCGGCAGAAGCTATTCCGCCTGTCACAACAACGTGAACGGGCTCTTCACCAATCAAAGGCAAAGGGTGATGCTTAGACCAGCTTGGAACAGTCGAACTTATCAACTTTGGTGCGGTTGTACCATTGAACCAGCCCTCAATCAGATGAGATCACGACATCGCAATAACCTTTTCATGAAGTTCTCACGCCTGGACAGATAGCGGCGCGAGGGGCTTTTCTTCGCAAGCATTACCGCTTTCATTACCACCCAGCGTGTCGGCAGCGGCGAAGGCTTCAGTCTCCCCTACAGTATCAACCGTAATAAGCACTGATACGGCATTCCCATGCCCTCTATGCCACCTTAGCTTTCGGACGCTAGGCTTGAGAAAGTACGTAGTCTAGATGCATAAGCAGTCATGACGTTCAGGCTAACAAGAGTCTTGTCAGAAACCATCAGAATCGTGAACACAATCTCCGATACCCTTGCACGGTTTGCAGCTCAAGGTTCGAATTAGGAGCAGACCTCCAACGGCATGTGAATAAGTTCACCGATATAATACTCACGTCATTCCCACAAAACGATTCCGATGTCCAAACGTCGACTGTACGACTCCGGGAAAGACATACGCCCGAAAAGATAACTTCAAACGACATGTACGGCGTTGTGAGAAATGCAACGAGAAGTTGAAGTTGGACGGGTCAAAGGGCGACATTTGCGCTGAGGCGTACGAGCCTAGCACCTACCAAGATCTATATGCGGCCTGATGAGGCATACCAAACGTAGTGGGAGGACTTCAACTTGAGTCAATCACAGGCTCATGCTTCATCGGAGGCGCACCAACACATCCATCCGCCCACGTTGTTGAGCGCCTTTTGTATGGCTATGCGTGGGCATTGCGCGTCTCTGGAACTGTATCGCAGGGCAATTTTCCACAGAGGCGACGCGCATATATCATCTCTCATGCTATGTGCCAATAGAAGGGAGGAGATATATCATCGATCTTGATTTCATGAGGGCAATCTGCATTTGCATGATGCACAAGATGGAGTCCTTCGAGTTGGCACGATCTGCATGCGTGATTGGCTCAACTCAGTACTAGAGTATGCCTCACTCAGCCTCATGCTCTTTCTAGGTCTTTCATAATTTTAGCAGCTCCTGTTTTTAGTCTGCCTAAAATTAACTCTTCCGCTTCTACGTTACCCTCACACAGTCGAGATGGCCCCCATCAACTTCGCTGTCCGCTCCGCATTCTTGCATGCTGCGCCTTCTCGTAACAGACGAGCCTCATCTGCGACCAACAATCCTTCAGTGGTGATTGGCATCACCGTGGCTGTCACCTGTGCTGTTCTCGCTATCGGAACAGCATGTTTCTTGATATGGCGGAAGAGGACAAGGGCGGCGAAAGAACCTGAGCAATCATGGGAGCGGCCGTCGGAGCTTGAAGCAAAGCCTGAGTGGGAGTATCGTAAAATATGCGAGCTGCAAGAGTCAGAAGAGGTTCCACCTGGATACTCAGCATCTCCACAATTGGCTCCATATAGAGCGACCACGTTATTAGAGGACAACAACAGCCCCGGATGTCCCGACCAACGGATACTCATCCCTTTCCAAAAGGCTGTCCAATCACATACCCGTAATCTAAGACGAGGCGGCATCGAGCGTAGTCCCGTCAGCCGCATCTCGCGACAGCAGATCAAGAATGCGTCGACAGCCGCGGCAAGATCCGAGTCTTCCAAAGAAAAAGAATGT